ATTGCTTAGTTGGAGCCTAATCATTGGGTTTTTATTAGAAAATTTTACAATTGTGGGTTTTAGTTAATGAAAATTGAATTCCAAGGAGTATAAACATAGTTTCAGTATTTTTTATTTTATTTTCAGTTAGATACCTTTGCAAATTGAATGGGACCATGTCCATCGTATTGAAAGAAAAAGTGAACTTTTATCATAAAATTAATTGATAATATAGATAAGACTTAATTTCTTATAAGCTATTGCAAAGTTTGGTGCTTGTCGAATATGAAACATTACCTTTCACATCTCCAATTACCATTAAAGTATTTATTGACATTTGATTTTTGAACAAGAAACGTGTGATGCATTTATCATTAAAAAAACCAAGAAACATGTGATACATGTTAACGTTAGGAGTGGTGCCTGTTTACATAAATGTCCCGTTCGATGCATGTGATACATGTTTTTATTTAAACGTTAGTCCTCGAATGTTATGAATGCTCGACAAAAAAAAAAAAAAGAAAGGAAAACTAATGAAAATGACTTTAAAAGTTTTAGTTTTAATAAAAAAATCATGTTATAAGTTTTGTTTAATGATTAGTACAAGGCCTATATTAAAATAGTCCAATTAAAAATAGTTCAATTATAATAAATTATGATTTGTCGATTTTACCCCTAACTTTTTTAGGTTGAGTTCTAGATTTTCATTGTTAATGGAGTTCATCGTTGTTTTGCAAACCTTCTTCTTTTTCTTTGAAACAAAAATATAGATCCTCATGTTATTTAATTTATATTTTGTATTATTTCCTTGAAATGTCAACAAACAAACCCTGCAGTGCTCGAGGCATAAGACGTAAGGGAGTTGATGTCCAAACCAACATGGTTGTCATCAGGATCCTAGAACTCTTGGTTTTCGAAGACATCAAACTTGACACCAAAGATGTTGTTGGGGTAGCCGTTGTTGGAGAAGTTGAAAAAACCCAAGTGCTGCGCAGAGCTTGTACCGCTTAAGCTGGAGAAGGGTGAGAAGATGATGGTTTTTTATTAAACTTTGAACCCTTTTGGTTAAATAACATTTTGAGATGGTTTTTGGTTAAATATTTGTTGGCCCAAGCCTTTTTCATTAAAGCTCCCAAAAGAAAATCGTATGTGGCTCTTGGCACACAGTCCCATGTTTTTGCACAGTCAAGTGCTATGTCACATTTTAACGGAGTCACTCATGCTAATGAAAGTATGAATCTGGAAGTAAAACATAACTTTAGGTATAAAAGTGAGATAAAAAAAAAAAAATTAAGGATATCAAAGTGAGAATTTCACAATAATGGACAGTAGTAAAGTGAGAATTAGTGAGCTAAGATCCTGTCATGTCATCAATTAATAGAAAAGTTAACAAGTGGCAGAAAAATATGAAAATCAAACGAAAAAGTAAGTGCAATGAAATGCAATTTTGGAAAAATTTGAGGATAGTAAAGTAGAAATTACCTTTTTTTATTTTTATTTTTTATTTTTTATTTAACAAATGGTATTATCTATTCTAAGAGAAAATAGATGAGCTTAGCTAGGGCTGACATTTTGAACCCGACCCGTTAAAACTAGTATTTGGGTGAGTGCTTAACGAGTTGGGTTGTTAACGGGTCAACCCATTAGTCACCCTTTAAGTAACGGGTCATTTTGGGTCAACCTGCGAAACCCGTTAGCACCCGTTAACACCCGTTAAGAAGGACTTTTGTGTAATTTCATAGTTGGAATAGAAAACCTAGCTCTCTCTGTTCTCTCACGTTCGAACCCGGACCGAGTGGCTGCCGTTCTCTCCCTCATCTTCTTTCTCAAAGTTGGCTGCTGTTTACTAAGTTCTGCCATCCTCTATCCGGTAAGTTCTGATTCCCTTTCACCTCTTCTTCCATGGCGATTACTTTTCGTTTTTGCAGAATATATTTTTCGTCTAATTTTCTCAGTTTTTGCATGAGCTTGGTTTGAGGTGGTACTCTTCAGATGAGCTTCGAATTAATTTGGAATTAGTTGATTTGTGTTTGATGATTTCTATAACGATTGTGCTTTTGTTGTGCAAATGGTGCTTTTTGTGTGTGATTGTGCTTTTGTTCTCTTCCTTCGCAAGTTAGATGGAGAGAGATCTTCCCACTTCTCCATCTCATCACACACTCGATTCATACACACACACATACATACGTTATTCTTTTATCATGGGTGTGATGGCGATTGAGGAGGAGAAGTAGGCGGCAGCCAAGCCCTTCGACGAATTGGTTTTGATTAGAATTGGGTTTTGATTAAAATACATGTTTTGTTTTCGCATTGAGAGGGGAAAAAAGGTCATTGCTTTTCTCTTTTGCTTTCCCTTTTTAGTTCCTTTGTTTATTGCTTATTGTTTAGAAATGTATGAAATTTTTGGAAGTGTTAGTGCTATATTTCTGTGAAGTCAATCATTAATTCACTCTAGCTTGAGAGGTGTTTGTGCACGGGTGTTCCTTACTTTTTAACCCATTTTCTCATACTTATTGTTATTTATTGTCGGTTTTCGTTTATGGTTAATGTAGATGGATAATGATGAAGAGAACACTGAGGTTATGGTAAGATACGTCAAAAGAGATCTCATGTTTGGACTTTGTTTGAAGTGATTCTTGATAACATTGGTCAGAGTATAGTTTGATCCTTGCTGTCGCAGAGATTCTTGATCCTCGCTATAAATTGAATTTGTAGAGTAGGGCTATAACAAGCTTTATGGTAAGGATTCCAGAGAGTTGAAGGATGTTAGTGGCACATTGTTTTCACTCTATGGTCATTACATAGACAAGTTCTCTCATCTTCTTATATCCAACCCAGTCAATCAAACTCCTACTCAAATAAAAGTTGGAGACAAACTTTTTGAGATAGTATTTATATCTATTATTCCTGTTTTTATACTTTTTATATGCATCTTTATATTGTTAGTTGACGTCATTGTTTCTATTTTGTTTTTATATGTAGGAATTTGATAATATTTACCAAAATGGGTCAACGTCAAATAGATAGAAAACAAGAGTTGGATATTCTTTCATGGTGGAAACTGGAGCAATTTCGTTATCCCGTACTTTCTCGTATGGCTTCTGATGTGTTAACAATTCCCATCTCAACTATTGCCTCAGAATCAGCATTTAGTATTAGTGGTAGGATGCTTGATTTGCTATGTACTAGAGACTGGCTTTTTGGCAAAGGAGGTAAATTTTATATTACTTTGTATTTTTTTTTATTTTATATAATAGATTATAATTGTTTTCCTTTTTTAACTTTTATGTTTAGCTTTAGAGAATGAGGGTGCTGACTTGGAAGAACTCACTGAAGAAATTTTTGACATGAGCCTTAACGAAAACTCGAGACAATGCTCCAATAGTATTAGTCTTGATTAAGCATGGTATGTATTTTCACTTGTTCTTTTAAAGATATTTTCTATGTTTAATAATTAGGATGGATTGTGCAAGAGTAATGTCTGATTTTGTATACTTGCTCATTGCTCTTGATTTTGTGGGTGTGTTGCAGACTTTTGGGTGTTAGAAAGAAATGCAAATTCTTCCTTGAAGTAGCGATATAATTGGGTGGTACATCTTGGTGATGTTGAATACGGCATTGCCCTATGCCATATAGCTATGCTTCACATTTTGTAAAACCCTTATGGAGTTCTATTAATTAGTTGATTTGGAAGATTGTAGTTTGATATATATATATATATATATATAAATACATCTTGGTGATATATATACCTCAGTTATGAGACTTAACTGTTGAACATAGACTTTATCGGGATGTATTCTGAACAGTTGAGTAGTAACTCTGGGGCTCGATGCCAACGAGTTACAACATATTCTGTCATGAAATCTATCTCTGATGTAGTTCTTGCCAGCCCAAAGTCATAAATCTTAAGGTCACAATTTGCATTGAGAAGCAGGTTACTCCGTTTCAGGTTGTGGTAAACATTTGCAGAGTGTATGTACTTCAATCCCCGTAGATATATATATATATATATATATATATATATATATAATGTTTGTAATTTTGGGTAAAAGATGTGTAATTTGTATTGGAATGCAAAATGTAAAAAAACAAAAAACAAAAAAAATTGTTAACTGGTGTTAACGGGTGAAACGGGTTACTTATTAGGCTTAACGAGTTGAGTTTGGGTGACCCGTTAAATTAACGGATTGGGTTCAACCTGACCCAAACCCAATAAATCCGATCCTTTTACAGGTCTAAGCTCAGCCACAATGAACTCATTTTTAGGCCCTAGGCCGTCGCACTCGCCATCCCCGGAAAGGGCCGACTGTGTTCACGGTACATTGGTATATGAGATGCAAGAAGATAAGAAGAGAACGCAAAAAAGGAAATTTTCATGGTATGTTAGAGTATGAGATGCACCTGTACTTTAGGTACCGTTTGGTACATGGGACGGGACGGAACAGAGTGGGACAAGGCGTTCCGTCCCACGTTTGGTGCGCCTAAAACGGGTGGAACGAGCTGTTCCACGGGACGAGTTTTGGGTGAATTTTCGTTCCACCTCACCCCCTTGGAACGACTCGTTCCACATCCGTGGAACACAAAATTATAACCACCGTTTCCTTCTTCTTCCTCCTTGTTTCCATCCGAGGGCATCTTTGCTCCCGCTCCGTTCCGTTCCGGCCTGTCCAGTCCCGTCCCGTCCCGTCCCATCCCGTTCCGTCCCGTCCCGTCTGCATACCAAACGATACCTTAACACTAGATTGAAATTATACGAATTCAACCGTCCAATATCACATACAGCCATGCACTGGAGAATTTTTGTTACAAGAGTAGCAGGTTGATCTACTAAATCTCAACCGTTGATTCACAAATCATCAGCGCACAACCTAAAACTTGCACATCACCCGTTCATCTTACAGACACTGCCTGTACCATCTACAGTAGATCCCACCTTCTCCATTTGACTCCTCCCCAAAACCCCAATGCACCATTTTCCTGACTCACTCCACTCTCAACCCTCAACCAAAAAGCGCGCGAACAGCGGCGGCGAAATGCCGGAGCTACCGGAGGTGGAGGCGGCTCGGAGGGCCGTAGAGGAACACTGCGTAGGGAAGAAGATAACGAAAGCACTCATCGCCGACGACTCCAAAGTCATCGATGGAGTCTCACGCGCCGACTTCGAGGCCTCTCTCTTGGGAAAGACCATCGTCTCCGCCCACCGCAAGGGCAAGAACATGTGGCTCTGCCTCGACTCTCCTCCCTTTCCTTCCTTCCAATTCGGTGCCGTTTCAATACCCACTGTCGCCATTTTTGTCACAATTGCTAATTTGCTATTATTATTATTAGTATGACAATGTGCATAGAAATTGATGGATTTGTGGTATTTTGTGGTTGCATGTTTGTGTTTCAGGAATGGCGGGTGCTGTATATATTAAAGGGGTCGCCGTCACGAAATATAAGAGGTAATGGGTTTTGGCCATGGAGTTAAATCAAATTAAAAGACTGATTTTTGGGTAGCATTTGGGGTTAGGATTGACCCCAAATGTAAGGTTCATCGTAAGAATTGAGATGTTTGAATTCCGATTCAATTGGTTGCAGGTCTGCTGTAAAGGACACTGATGAGTGGCCTTCCAAGTATTCCAAGTTCTTTGTTGAAGTAAGAATTGATATTCCAGAGACCCCAATAGCCAACAGTGGTGGTTTATTTTGTTTTCGTATATGTGCTTAATTGGTAATTGGTAATGATTTAATTAAAAGGAGATTTTTAAATGACTGATACTGTGGGGGTTCTGTGAGTGTGAGTCGGTAAGTGTTTAGTTGTTTTTGGTTTTAGCTGGAAAGGTAATCAAATGAGGGACAACCAAATTTCTGCATTGTAATGTAGCTTTGACACCAGGTTTTTGGTTTCTGAGATACTGTTGAATACTTTGACTAAGATAACAGTCACTGCCAGTATCTTCTTTTAGGACCTTTTCAATGCTTAATTATCTCGTATGTGAATGTGGAAGAAGCGAAAAAGTAGTGAGGAGTTAGCTCATTCATCATGTAAAAGTTGAATGAATGAGAATATCTGTGTATTATATATTCTGGAAAATAACGCGAAAAAGTGGTGAGGAATTAGCTCATTCATCATGTAAACTTTGAATGAATGAGAATATCTGTGTATTATATATTCTGGAAAATAACAACGGTACTTGTGTGATTTAGAGCATTTGGTAAAGGAAATAGTTTATGTGAAACTTCGTGTATCTTCATGACCAAGTTTCACTTGAGTTGCAGTTACTTCATTTGTACAGTAATTTGAGCCAATAAACTCACAAATATATATTTTTCCTTTATAGTTTGATTCTTATCCCACTGACAAACAAAGTGGGGTTAGTAATGGCTGACACATTTCATTGTACTGATTATAAACATTTATACGAAGAAACTAGCTTCATGGATTTGCTTGATGTATTTTTCTTTAAATCATAAAAGATGGGTCATCGAGTGTGTATTTCTTTATGACATCCATATACTATGTGCAGTTGGATGATGGTCTGGAGTTCTCTTTCACTGACAAGAGGCGATTTGCTAGAGTCCGCTTGCTGAAAGATGTATATAACATCCTCCTCTATTCTGTAAAGTTCTCATGTTTTCTCTGCTTTAAGCTTTAAGCTAACACTTTGATGAACTTACAATATGTTGGTACAGCCAACTTCTGTGCCCCCCATATCTGAGCTTGGGCCCGATGCTCTCTTGGAGCCTATGACAGTGGATGAACTTTTTGAATGCTTCAGCAAGAAGAAAATTGCAATTAAGACCCTGTTGCTTGATCAGGTAGTTACAGCTTTTATCATTTTTATTGAGCATGTTAAGTTACGATCTTATTTTCCTGGAGTACAAATCAAAGAGTCTACAATTGTATAGTTAAATGGGTAACTATTTATACAATGGTTTATAACATGTTTATGGTATATGCAATAACTTTTTTCCCCCTGTTGTTTTTACGTGTTTGCAGAGTGTTATTTCAGGAATTGGCAATTGGGTTGCTGATGAAGTACTCTACCAAGTCAGTCTAGTCTTTATACTTGAACAGTATCATTAATATTAATCACATTTAATGGAGTATGGACCTCGTAACATGATGAGATAGGAATATTGGATGTACGACTTGCAATACTTAAGAAAAATACAGTTTCACTGATCTATCTCCTGTATCTGTAGATAAGAGCACATAATTTATATGCGTTTTTTTATTTCTGGAGAGTAGATATACTGGTGTCCTAGATTTAATAGGGATCTAGGATAATGGATTCTTTTTATGTTCATTTAACATTTGATGCATAGAATTTATGAGAAGTTGGCAAGTCCAAGCATTTTGTGTTGTCTCTAACAACGACATGTCCAAATGCAACCTAAGATGATTTGATCATATTTAATGATTATGGAAAATTGCAATTTCCAAGAGGGATGTTATGTGGTAGGTTAGCCAACCTTCAGAATCTAAAATTAATTCAAAATTAATTCTGGTTGTGACAGAGAGAGGGCATGCAATTCGTTGAGCTCCACTAGCTAGGGTGTATTTGTGCAATCCAATTCTTTGTCATGGGAATTGGAACGATACTTAATTAAATTCATTTTATAGAAGGATCTTCTAACTTATGTCTGGTCCTGATCCTTAAATCTAGAAGCTCTTAGTTATTACTGGTTTTATTTTGTAGGTCTAGATTGTCTGATGGTGGAGTAAATGCTTATTTGATTTCTTGCAGGCAAGAATTCATCCGGAGCAAGGTGCTGCGAGCCTGTCGAAAGAAAATTGTGCAGCTTTACACAAGAGCATCAAAGAGGTGAGAGGTTTAAGTTTTTAATTGAGTCTCTGCTAGTATTATTTACTCTTTTTTCTTTTCCTTTTCTGGGAGTTAAATATGCAAATATAGAGGATGAATACCTGTAGGTTATTGAATATGCGGTTCGAGTTGATGCTGAGTCTATCCACTTTCCCTGTGAATGGTTGTTTCATTTTCGGTGGGGCAAAAAGCCCGGAAAAGTTGATGGTAAGAAACTGGTGATATATACTGGTCATTTTGACAAAAGAATTTATTGTACAGGTCCTTGAAAAATCCCTGGAAGTTGGAGCAGATAGTAGTCAATTTCCTAGTGATTGGATTTTTCATTCCCGTGAAAAGAAGCCTGGAAAGGCTTTTGTTGATGGTTTGGTTCCTGACCCTTGTGTGATTATTTGTTAAAGACTAACATTGGATTAATTGATATTTTCCTGTAATGCAGGGAAGAAAATTGAGTTTATCACAGTTGGTAGCAGGGTATGTCATTCTAAAGAGTCCTCTTCTATTGTTTTTTTTTTTAAGGAGTGTCCTATTCTATTGTTCTTCTGGCTATTTCGGAGTATTTTCTTTTCAATGGGTTCCAAAAAAATTTTGCCTTTCGGTTTTGTATTTCTAGACTTCAGCATTTGTACCAGAGCTTCAGAAGTTAAGTGGACCGCAAGCTTCCAAAGCAGCAACTAAACAAGCTAACAAGAAAAAAGGGCGTGGTGATGTTGTTAATGATGATGTTGATGAAGCAGCAAGTGATGAAGAAGCCAATGAAAATGAAAAATCGAAGAAGGGGAGGAAGCCTAAAGGTCAAGGTAAGAGGGCGTCAGCGAAAAGAAAATCAAAAGAGAGTGATGATGAAGACAAGGACAGTGATGATGATGCTGACGACAATGATGACCATCAGGATGAAGATCAAAAGAAGAAATCAAGAAAAGGTGTCAATAGTAAGCAATCCAAGGCAGAGAAGACATCAAAGGCAAAGGTGCAGACCAGTCAAAGTGGTAAGAAGCTGAAGAAAGGAAAATAGGTAGCTACTGAGCGGAGATGCGCAGACCAGTCGTTTTTGGAAGAACGAAATGATGGGCGTACGTGTGCATTCAGTTTCTATTTTCGCAACTCTAGTTAGTAGTAGTCAATTTGTCACGAAACTGGTCGATGCTAATTATGTGGCTATATTACTGACTTCCGTTATGTATTGTATGCTCAACTGTAGTTTTAAATATACATTCCCGGCTTTCCTTGCACGGAAAAGAGTGGTTTTCCTCTAACGAGGTTCAGTTGCGTCACGGTATATGCGGACAATCGGAGTCAAAAGTTTACAATATGGATATATCATATACACAACCAGAAAAAAGTAGTATTTACACATGAATTTCCAAGGCAACTCGGCAGGATATTCTTTTGCACCTTCATCGAATCCTCTTAGAACACATAGCCATTGTTATCGTTCACAACTTCTTCCCCTGCTTTTGGAAATTGAAAATGAATCAAGCATTCCAACGGCGAAATCATGACTTCAATCCGCAGGACTAGTGAGCTCATTGATCGAATTATATGTCAGTGATATTTCTAGGGGAGAGATTTTCTTACCTTGAAACGATTGACTTGGAAGATGATGCCGATTTCCAGATTAAACATGGATTCAAGCATTGAACTTTTAAAAGAATACTCGTAGAGCAGTAACAACTCTCTCGGGCCTGTTATATGTTTTTCAATGCTCGGTTAAGAAAAATGAAGGCAGAAAAGCGTTGCAAAGCACGAGAGTTCTATACGAGAAGTCATTTACCAATCCTCCTGTGGCATATGCCCGGCACCTTCTATCAACTTAAGCTGGACCGCAGTAGGGTTTGCTTTCTGAAACTCTTCTGCTATAGACGGAGGGAGATACTTGTCTGAAATCCCCCATACAACCAGAGTCGGCGTATCCCATCTGAAGTCCAGAAGCCATTATTTAGTCAATCATCAGCCAAAAGTAAAACAAATCATTAGAAACATGAACAGTCTGAATGAATTTAGCTCATGCATTCGATGTCTTGTAATGACACCATCTTTCTTAGCCCGCACACCCTGTGTCGCAGAACTCTTTACACTTCTTGACAAGCAGATGGATGCATAAGAAGTGCAAATTTTTAAGTATAGTGTCAGCCTTGTTCACTATTTTTTTTGTTCCTTCCTCAAAGGCAAAAGACTATAAACCAGAACCAACAAAAAATCGAGAAGATAACGCTGTAATGATATACCTTCCAGATGCAAACCCAGATGATATTTGGCTTAATATACCATTGAAATCGGCTTTCCTTGTAGTTTCAAGTAACGCTGGAACATCGATAAAACTTAGTTTAAGTCGTTAAGATAATATTACTACTGCTGATTTCTACAAAATGTTAGCATTGAACAATTGGTCCTCTAGAAGAATTAGATTACAAACCAAATCCAGGTCCACTGCTTGAAAGATATGGTAACCGATACACATCAGCCTTTTCGAGCTTCAACACGTAACTGTTGAAAGAAGAGACACTTTTGTCAGAGCTACGCCTATGTCAACGGTGATTTCTTCTTATTTGTTGTAGAAAAAGTTTCAATACAGCTATTGCAATGTTGATATGTTGAAGGCGAATGCGCAATACACATTTTTTAGCACGTTACATGCCTTTTGCATTAGCCATGCTTCAGATAATGTTTCTCTAGACCATGGAAAATATGCAAAGGTTAAAGCTTATGTCTGACATCTCAATCCATTTAACACTCCCTAACACCAAGTACTAGCAAGATAACGAGAAAGATTAGTGATTGCGGAGAACTAGATACGTACGCGCTACCTGCTTCAATGAAGCGCTCAGCCATAACTGCATTCTGGCATGTAAATTCACCTAAAAAAGGGAATCTGAAGAGAATCAAAAGAAAATAGGAGTGAAAATACAGAAACATAGATCATTCAATGAAACTTCGAAATTAACTGTCATATGTCAGATAAGCTCGAAAATAGAAAATGTGCAAATGTTCAATCTGAGCCTTCATTGTAATGCAATAAATAATAGAGCTTTTTAACCATTCAGGTTTTCTATTTGAATGTGGCCCTAGCGTTTGGTTAAGCATGCCTTTCTCTTGAAAGATTTATATACAGAAAATCATATGATTAACTTGAATTTGAGGATAATGTAGGAACTATAACCAGTTTTTTGAGCTTGATGGAAGAAACAGTTGTTCAGTACAAAAATCTTTTTGAGTGGAAAACCCGACATCTTATACTATATTTTCAAGTAAGAATATCAAACCTTAATTGCTTAAACAGCCCAGGAACGGGAGATGAAACTGTCAGTGGAGTATTTAGAATTGCAAGCTTTGATATTCTGCTCGGGTTCTTTAATGCCCATGTCAATCCATATGAACCTACAAGAAATCCCTTCAAGGAGAGGACGAAAGCATGTGAGAAACATAATTTAATTGCAAAATAAACTATAGGATTGATTCAACTATAGCTTGACTAGACTTGACTAAAATCTTTTGAACCAAGAACATCTTTCATCACGAACACCGTCCAAATAGCTTGTCTTCTAAAAGTGTTCAAACCTGAACGACTAGATAGAAAGGAGATTTGACGCGGAGCTTATCTAGTAATTTGTCAAATTCCTTGTGGAACTCCTCTTCTGCAGTGGAAAGATCGATCTTAAACCAAAAGAAAAGCAATGTCTTTTCCCCCGAAAAACAAAAGAACAAACGTATGAGAGGATAAATCTTCTATTATAAGAATGCACCTTTGTAATCAAAGTCATCATATCCAGCCTGTGGTTTGTCACTGAAACCAAATCCTAGCCAATCTGGTGCTAAGCAGTGGAAGCCGAAGTCTTCTGACAGCTACTCAAGATTAAGGTAACGAATATCAAATTTAGCAGCAGTCAGTTGACATCGAAGGCACAATAAGGATTCAAATTACATGACCATGAGATTCAAGTTAACGTATTTCAAGATCGATATGTCAGAGCGTGTAGATGGTCTGAAGATTACCAAGGATTAACAACTCTGTAGTTTCATGTACTAAGCATGTAACTGTATTTGAAAAGTGATATCCCTGAGCATCGTAATTGCTTAGCTTTTTGTCCTAAGCTTTTACGATAAGCAAAAAACAGCAGTGAATAACATCCAATCCAAACCAAAACAAAATTCAGCTAGACCTGTGACATGACACTTCTGTAGCTGTAAGACTGCGTGGGAGCACCGTGAAGAAAGACAACTGTTCCACGTTCGCTCTCAGCTGATCCTGCAAAGTAAAAAAATCTTGTAAAGTTACAAAGAGCAGAAAGAGGATTTTAACTAATGTCGCAGTTGAAATATTTTTACCAGTTTCTCTCACAAACCATACATACTCCCCTGCTCTGAAGTATTTACCATATTCCTTCCCCTTGTCTTCTATCCTCTAGATTCAAAAACAAGAAATTAAATGTCTCAACGATGATATAATAACAACATTAAGAAAAAAGTTAGAGTACACTTCAAGATGAGTAGAAATTTAAGGACTCCAGTCACGATGAAATTGCAATTGCATACTCTTTCATGGTGCATTAATGGACAACCAAAATCCAATTTTGAGCTTTCAACTTTCGATCAAGCTACGAGTGATTCCAAAAAAAAACATTTCCTCAACTACAGTCCACATTTAAGACCTTGTGTAGTTCCTTGATAAAGTGCAGAAGATTTATAGCATCTATTGTAATCACACGAGTCTGACTGAAAGTTCAATAAATTAAACGATGAAATCGATATCCATGTTTTATAGACCATCATGCAAACACTTGCATCAGTAGCTTGTGAAGGAAGTTGTTCCACTCCAAAAACCAATTGGCAATAGGCGGAGTAGCACATCTCCTTGTAAGCACATGCAAGGTCACTAAACTTTCTGATGTTGGACAACATTCCAACATCCTCACAGTACAATTGTCCCAAAATGATACTATTTTAATTGAAACGCACTTGATGAATTGACAATATAACAAAATATACTCATCAAAATCCACCAAGAAAAAACCAGAATAAAGTAAATAATAACAAGGAATTCCAGACTTGGAAACTGAAAACAGTGAATTAAGTAAGAGCAGAGCTTACATAAAGCATTTGGCCAACATTGCCAGACTCTGCAGGGCTCTCACTGATCTGAATGGCACTACGGCTTGATGGGTTATCGGTGACAAAGCCAAAGGGGTTGAAAGCCGGTGAGTCTGAGTCTGAGTCTTTCTCTGTGTCCTTGGTTTTTTCTTGGTCTGCAGCACTGGCTGTGACTCTTGCTCTTCTCCTTCTGCTTGTAAAAAGGGGGATGTGGGATTTGGGTTTAGGAGAATTCGGTACGGCGGAGAGAGGAGAAGAAGAGGCTGGGAGGTTGAAGGGCAGAGAGAGCAGAGCCGAAGCCATTCTCACTAGTTGTGGCTGTTGGAGCTTGGAAGTTGAGAACCAACGGTTTTGAATCAATAGATTAAGGGCTGGTTTGGTATTGCTGTGCTTTGAAAAAAAGCTGCTGTGAGAATAAGTGGCTGTGCTGTGAGAATAAGCGGCTGTGAAATAAAGCCAGCAAAGTGTTTGGTAAACTTTTTTGTAAAAGTGCTTTTGGAAACAAAAAGCAGTATCATAGTGTTTGGTAAACTTTTTTGTAAAACAGCTGTGACTGTGTGAAATGACCAAAAAGGGTATATTACTAGATGTGTTATTAATTTAATTTTCTTAATAAATAAAAGTGAATTACTAAATATATTTTATTTTTAGAAGAAAAATATTTATAAACTTTATCTTAAATATTAATTAGTATGACAAACCACGTGGCATGTTGTTCCCGGCACACCTAAAAATTTCTCCCTTCCGTGACACCTTTTTCTTCTTCTCCTTCTTCTTTTTCTTTTCTTTTCTTTTCTTTTGTTTTGGTTTGTCTGCATCTTTCTTTTTCCTTTCTTTTCGAAAACTCCTCCCTTTCTCTCTTCTTCTTCCCCGTGACAACACACACACACACACACAAATACCCACAGTCGCACAACTCAGGGAGAGTCACCATCATCGCCGTTGAACTGCTTCTCTCTCTCTCTTTCTCTCTCCCCTGCTCGCGGTGCCGGAGTACGCCGAGCATCTCCGGCGAATTTTAGCTTGTTTTCCGGTTGGGTAGGCATGGTTTCTCCCTTCTTAGTCTTGTTAGATGTTGGTTAAATGTAGTTACTGAGTTGGGTTCATGAATTTTCAAGGTTTTGGAGTGTTTTTGGCAAGGGTGGAGGTACACCCAATTTTCCGGCGAGTGCGTGTTTTCCGAGGGATTTTCCGGCCACCACAAGCCGTTTCACGGCGAACCCAAGGTATAAAACTACTCCTCTTGGCTAGTGCTTCATTTTGATACCTAGATCGGGGTCTAGGTTGTAGTTTTGACGTGCGAGAGAGTTCTGGAGAAAGGTCGGTATATTTCATTAAACCTGGACACTGTTCACCCGTGTGTGGGTGAAAATAAGCTGCTTTTGGAAGCTACAAATTGCAGCTTCTTGTCATCTCTTGGTTTTGGGCTTTTTTTCACCCTCAACTTTGAAAAAAAGCTGCTTTTTAAAGTTTACCAAACACCAAAAATTTTCATAGCTTTTTTTCATAGGAGCTTTTTTTTTAAGCACCTCAATCCCAAACAGGCCCTAATACATTAGACACCACTTTGGTCTTTTGCCACGTTGGACTATACTCATCTTTATTTTTGGTGAGTGGTGACCAATATTTTGCTATTTTGGTGATTCTTTCTTGAAGAAATGATAACGGACACTCTCAAAAGTGATACTTCTTATGGATTCTCTGTTACCTCACAATTTGATGTCAATTCTCGTGCCAAAACATGAGGTGGCAAAGAATATATGGAGAGTCTCACTTTTGAGAAAATCTCATTAACAATTCTTCATTTCTTGAGTGGATTGGAGCATAGGTCATGAAACATTATCAATTTGTATATGAATTTCATAAGATGTGAAATACTCGTTTTTGATGTTAATTTCCTGAGAATTTTTGTGCGTTAGATTTGATGGAAGTAATCATGAACTTGACGTGAAAGACAATGCCCCGGATTTTGTCAAATTCATATACTTAAAATAAAGACTTAATTCATGAACCAAAACTACAATATAGTTCAAAACAATGCTTAAATGTTCTCTTTTTTCTCAATTATGTCTGTAATATGCAATAGGGTGACGTTGTGGCAGTTTCTCGAACTAATCACATACACATATGGAAAAGTTAAAATGCGTTATTATAGTGACCAAAATTTATCAGCCAAAGATGGGACGTGTTAATTTTAATCTCCCTTAGTTGATTTTGAGACTAGTGTTATGCAAACTTATAAAATGATACTCTGCTAATATATGAACAATAAGTAAACGCACCACACTTGCATACTCCTTGTATGATCTTTGTTGAGAAATCACCAGCACTATGGAAAATAACAACTTGGTTACAAGAACTTATTGAAAACCCATGGTAAACCCTGGAACCTTGCTTTAGATCTCTCTGTCACTCTTGACTCTCTACTCTTGTATTCTCTCTTGTGTGAATAAATAGCCCCAACAAACCTATTTATAGCATATAGACCGATGGATACATACCTTTTAAATCCTTTTAGTGTAGAAAAAATTAACTTATTTTCTAATCCTAAACTGATTGGGCTTACAAAGAAAAATTTATTTTCCTACTCCTCACTCATCAAAATTGGTGGGCTCCAATGACTTAGCCCATCAGAGGGTGAGGAGGTAGGGATTTAGCTCAATAGGGCAAGATTAGGACGATCTAACATGATCATTAATGGTAGGCTTGTTAAAAGGGTCGGGACTCGATTGGCTGGTCCGAGCCCAACCATGTATTTTGGGTTGCGGGCTGGCCCAACTAGTTTTAGGGTCGAGCTTTATCCAACCCGATTTTAAATGGGTAGGGCCTAGATCTTGCATTTTAGGCTCTGGGCTGACCGTTAACACTGTTCTTAGGCCTGGCTCAATATGTCCTGGTGTAATTTAAATACTTTTGAACTTTCTTTACAAATAATTAACTTTTTGTTAATACTTATATATATATTTTTTAATACATTGATATTTTTATACTAAAGGGAGAAGAAATTCAGCAAACAAATACTTATATAATTTAGTTGACTATATTAACCAAACAAATACCTTAGTTCAGATGATAATTGAAAACTAATTAAAATAAAAATTTTAGGCTCAATTCTCAACAACATTACTTTTTTTATAGTTAAATGTAAATGATTAATGGGCAAAAAATTGGGTTGGGCCGGGCAGCCCGCTCATAGGCTTGAATTTCCAAGCCCACGGGTTGTCCAGGGCCTTACATATTTGACATAGAGTTGGCCCAAAAATTAAGGTCTGGTAGCGCTTAAGCCTTGACCTTTTAGGATCGGGTCAACCCTACTTGAACTAATTTACAAGTGTGACTTAATGTGGAGTTGAAACAACTACTCATGGAACGACATGCGTGACTTAATGAACCATCCTCAAGTTCATTCTTGCTACTCTATAAAGGCATATTCACCACCCATTGATAGGTAATTATTTCTTGTTTGAAATGATAGCGATTCGGATACTACTTCTCTTACAACAAATCACATATAATTAGTATTAGTATATCATAATTTTATCACCATAATTTATTAAATAAAATAAACCAAATAAGATAAAATACTTATCTTTTGTAGGTAAAGAACGCTCTTTGTTGATCCTTGATTAGAACATGATTTTAGGTTGAGGCGTGTAGTCACTGTCCTTAAGAGTAGATTTCACATGTCTAAGACAATGTCTCGGTATAACAGGTTATGGCGCCTTACCCTCCAGGATACAACAACCTATGATCCTTGTAAGCGTACACTCAATACATGGATCGAGTGAACAACTCGATTCTTTCCCTTGGCATATAAGAGGTGGAAATTATAATAGCATTTGAGAGAATACATGAGATTAAGAGAAGAAAGGACGATGAGATTCTTTTCAACTAGTGGAATTTGTAGGAAAGAAAGAATTTGAAGTTCAATGGCCAAAATCTATTCAAGGGAAAAAACAAATAGAATCTATATATATATGTGTGTGTATGTGTGCGCGCGCGTGTGTGTGACAAATTACAAAAGGACATTGGAGGATAAAAGAGATGATTGATTAGGCAACACCACAATTGTAATTCAAAGTCCATCAATTGTGATTCAAAACCATTCATTATACCTCAACGTTATAATGCATCATTTTTCAGTTTTACAAATCAAAATTGAAATTAGGAATTTGAAAACAAATTGAATAGTATTAAAGTGACCAATGAAGAATTGTATTTTGAAATACCTAATTAAAATTCTAACAATCCCCCACATATTTCAAAATATAAATCAACTCGCAAGAAGAAGGGAATTAGAGAAACACAAGTATAATGAGAGGACAAGTACCAAAGGAAAAGGAGAATCCAACACATTAGAACTGGTGTCTTTTGGACTATGAACCAGCCTTAGGACGAAAGCCGTAACTCACAAAAATTTGGTGAAAATTAAATTTTCTATGAACCAAGATTTCTTTGTGATGAATCATAGAACTAACCATCCACAGTGAATCCTTGGAATCGAGCTTGTTCTAACGGGCGCGCCCACCTGGATATTCATGAGTGCTCTAGAGGACCTGACTAAGCTCTCATAGGAAGTGGTCAAATAGGTGAATCCATTAAGTGTGCACTGTAGTCAAGCACATCACCTATATATCGGCTATGGTATTCATTAAGAACACAAGTTCAACCTTACACACTACAGTAGTTGCACTATCTACACCATAGGGATAGACGCTCAATAAAGTTATTGACATAAATTGATAATGCACGCCCAATCAACAAGCGACTTGTTCTTACCCATATGAACCTACTTCATGGGATCTCCATTCACATAGGTTGGGTTACCATCACTCGTGATCGATGTTATAGGCACAAGTCTCATCCCCCTTGATGTACAAATCATCACTATCATTTAGCTTAGTGGATTTGTCAGAGGATATCCTAGATCCAATTTTGACCTCAAAATAATTATGTAAAATATATATGCATAAGTCATTTAGCTTACACTCTTATAGCTATGATATCACAGATGATGAACCGGTTTATCTCTTCCACAAATAGTGGGATATCTCAAACCAAATAAATTGGTCTATCCACAAAGGGATATCACAATATTAGATTCAAAGAAAGTTGGTCTCTTCCATATAAAATGGGATATAACAAAGAGGTTGTTAAGCCTCAAATAAATATCTTTTCCAACGAGTGTCAACTCATGTTCCAATCCAATGTGAACCTGCATATCTATTTAAGATATCTCTCCCTAGCATGACATCTCAACATATATGGCATTTGCGCGTATAACATTACCATAAAAATTTACCATTCATTTCTAATTAATATAAACTATAGTACCTCAAATATGTAG